CCCCAAAACCCCAAAACCCCATTAGAAAGTATTTTATTAAATAGATAAGATTGTATAAAATTAATTCAAAATTAGAATTTTTAAAATTATATTGAAAAAATGAATACTCTAATCTAAGAATGTCAAATTTCATCTGACTACTATGGTCTACCACATTTATATTTGACAGGATAACATATTATGTACTAGTAACGCTCAAAATCATAATCAAGTTACTCTTATTTCGCCATAACTGATCCTCATATTCGACAAAGTAAAATAAAGATGAATTATTCTTAACAACATGGAAAAATTAGAGAAAGATTAAAGAAGTTAAAAATTTTGATAATAAACCCTTCAAACATTAATAATGTTGAAGGTTACTAAGACCTTTAATTCATAATAGATCAAATACTATAATAACACGTAACTTAACAAGAATACATCTGAGTTGAACTTTAATCAAATTAAAAATTATCAAATAAAGTTATATCAGCAATACAAATTTTGCTTGTCAACTTTACTTAAGATATCCACCGAAAAAGAGAATGGCCTTTGTCAATAATAATGGAGCTATGGAGATTTTATATTAGAAAATCGGCTAATAATAGTGTTATTTAGATAATTAACTCAGTTCCAATAGTTATTTAAATAAATATAAAATCAATAAAGATAAACTTCTAAAGTATAAGACATGGGTAAGGTAGTTTAAAAATTACACAATATAACAAACACTGAATGGAACAACAAAGCACTCAGCAGATTAAGAAAAGTTATGGCTCTACATTAATTAATCTCTACTAAATTCCAGAATGAATAGATGACAAAATTTTAATAGTTTCTTAATGACAGAACCAGATTTAGTGAAATTTGGGATGATCTTTATTAGTGGTACAAAAGGATTTTTATCTTTTTATCTTTAGAATGAGGTAGATGAGATCTACTCCAATGCTATTAACTACATTCTAATTAATAATAATGCTGTTTAATACTCTTTCAAGGTCAAAGTAGATTTGGTTACAAAATTGTTGAGGACAATTGATACCTTTTGTTAAACTGCTAGCTAGATAAGATTTGCACAGAAGTCTAGCTTAATTATAGATCGTTATACTGTATAAAATTACTGAAGGCAAATATGAGAATTTAAATTAGGTATTTTAGTTTAAGTTAAAAAAGTAAGTTAATTTTCCTAGAATTGATGCATTATTTTTAATTTATAATTATTAAAAAATTCCCATTAAATATCGATATGGGGTTTTGGGGTTTTGGGG